CACAGCCAATCCTTACCTAAGTCATTCAAGACTCAATATAGATACGATCTCCACTGCAAAACTTTCCTAGACATCCCCAAAATTAGGCTGTCCTTCATTTGTGATCCCTAGCACAACCAATATATTTCCATATTAGCACTGCTTTGTAACTGCTTATTCAGTTACCTATCTCCCTTTAAAAATGCCTTAAGGTGGCAGGAATTTCATTTTTTCATCCTTTGCATATCCTAGCATGGTGCCATGCCTGGCCCCTAGTTGATATTCAAGTATTTGATCAACAAATAAAGGATTTCCCCAAATACGGAGTGCAGGATATATACATGTGAACACTACTGCCAATAATTTCTTAAAGAAATTATTGTATGGAACAGTTAACAAGAGAGCTGGACTACAGATACCAGGAATGGCTATTTCAAGCCAAAACTAGGAGACAAAATTTCAGCAGAGACAGGATCTGAAAATAGCAGCTACGGTGCAAAATTCAAAGACTTTTCCCACAGCAAAAAGAACAGTTGGCTAGAATTAATATAGGTTTTTTCAGCAGTATCATCTTTAATCATAAAATGGCAAAAATACACTGGATACAGTAACCTTTCAAAACAGAAAGATCCTGAGACACAATGACAAACTTCCCAACAAAAATGGTTTTCTTTCCAATAAATGTTTGCACAGGTATGTGCACATGATACCGTGACAGATATTAGCAACAAAACGTCTGTTTCCTAATCATGTAAGTTTTATTTTATTTTTTTTTTGAGAGGGAGTCTGGCTCTGTCACCTGGACTAGAATGCTGTGGTGTGAGCCTAGCTCACAGCAACCTCGAATTCCTGGGCTCAAGCCATCCTCCTGCCTCAGCCTCCTGAGTAGCTGGGACTACAGGCAAGAGCCACAACACCCAGCTAATTTTTCTATTTTTAGTAGAGACGGGGTCTCCTCTTGCTCAGGCTGGTCTCAAACTCCTGAGCTCAAGCAATCCTCCCGCCTCGGCCTCCCAGAGTGCTAGGATTACAGGCGTGAGCCACCGCGCCCGGCCCTAATAATGAAAGTTTTAAGACAAAAAAGATATAAATACATTGAATAAGGAAACTTTCTCTCACTACTACCCTTCTCCCCACCCCACCAAAAGGCAGATAAAATACGTAAATGATCAACACTCATAAAAGCAGAATTTTTTTTAAAAATTGGCTTTATAGACCATCTAGTACAAGTTCATTCTGTAAATGACAAATCAGAGGCCTGGAAAGGATAAATGATTTGTCCACGGTCATACAATCAGCTAAGATATAGAGCTATAACTAGAAAACCCAGGTTTGACTCATAGTTCAATGTTCATTTCTCTATGCCAGAAGTTCTCAAACCATTTACTCTCAGGACCTCTTTACACTCTTAAACATGAATGAAAACCCCAAAGAGCTTTAGTTTGTCTTTAAAGAACCACTGTTATAAACATGGAACCTCCTCTAGAACACCTGCAGGCTATCAAGAGCTGTTAAACTTACTCCCATTTTACAGATAGAGAAATGGAGGTTAAACCATGCATGTCAGATATTAAACTGATCTTAAGATAAACATTAGGACACACTTACAGAGAGATACTACTTAGACACTCCTTTTACTGCCCTCTTACATTCAACATTTGTAAAGGAAGTTCTATGCATCATTTTACTCTAAAAGTGAAACAGACACATAAATACACAATTTCTTACGAAAAAATTATCTCACACACCTATACCTACATAGAAGTATTCTTTTAAGTACTAAATTTATCTTATCTCTAGAAATAACAGTATATAACTGAAAGCTCATAGCCTACTACATCAAAGATTGCCAATAATAAAAACTGGCCTGATCAAAATTAAGGTCACAAATGTCTTTTCACCCCAACCCATAACATAACCAAACAAATGGAATTTAAATGCTCTCGAAACCCTATATAAAATTTGTATCTCCTCCCCGTCCACAGACCTGGCTTAATGCTTTCCACATAGTGAAAATGCAAATATTTCACAGATAACATTTTCCAAAAATTAGGTTACCATGTAATTGCTTGTTAACTTCCACCTTAACAAACATTTTCAAAGACATTCAACACATCTCAATTTAAACAATCTCTGCCTTTTTATACAGAAGACCAATAACAAGTTAATACAGCTGTTAGCTTTTCAAGTAATCAACTGTCATAAGAATTAGAATGAAGAGTTCCATCAAGTTTCCCAATATCAAGATCTTTATAAGAAAATAAAGCTAAGTTTATCAATCAGATGCTCATCTTTTATAATGTCAAAAACTTGAAGAAACAAGTCAATCTTACTTAAAACAAAACAAACAACAAAAAATCTTTAAAAACAACAAAACCTTTAAAGACAGAGCCACTGATTATTCAGTGTATGATTTAGCCAGGTCATCGGTTTATTTTCCTCTCTTGCTTTTTGGGCATTTTTCCACCACAGAATCCTAGAACATTAATTTTTTTATTAACACAAGTAAAAATTAGAACTAGTCTTTGTTTCTACTTTTTAATTGCTTGACAGAAGATCAATAAAGAAAAAATCTGGAACTACCATGTAAAATAAAATTAACGATAATGCACAGAACTGCTTACATTATTTCTGCCTCACATTAGAAGAGACTCAAGAGTGATTTAGTACCGTGGATTCAACTCACTCAAGCATTACCTGTCAGATTCTCCTTTAACTATGATTATGGTTTGGGAGATGAATGACACTTCATCCTGAGACAGTTCTTTTGAACACCTACTTCGAGCTTTTTCATAGTAAATAATCAGGGAGTGTCACACTTTTTAATTAATTCCCTACATTTATATATGTGTTTCTTTACAAGGGGTTTTTCATATAAAGCTTAGGACTTTCCTGGAATTAAATGTTTCAGTGATCTCACTATATAGCATTATCTGGACATAAACGGTACAACATTAAAAACAGCTACAAAATCACAGACCTACAACAAATGAGAGGAGGTAATATGAACTCCTTCCACCATAATACTTGGCTAAATTAAAATGGTCATAATCAGGTTAGACCTGGCAGCTCAAGGACGCATTAATCCTGTTAAGAATATAAACTCTAGAGGCAACATTGGGTTCAATTTAGTTCCACCAATTACAAGCTACATACTTTTTGTCAAGTTCTTTGATCTCTCTGTGCCTCAGTTTCCTCATTTGTAAAATGGGGAAAACCAAGTACATATCCCATAGGGCTATTCTGAGAATTAATCAAGATTACGAAGGACAACCAAAAGCAATCAGTTTTAGTTATGATTATTATTACCGCCAAGATCTACAAAAATTCAAGACCACCAAGAAAAACTAACCCTGGCATAAAATGAATTATTCTATTCAGAAATTCTACATATAATTTGTTCACTCTAAAGAAAGGGAGAAAATTCAAGTTCAATCTACAGCTTTAAATGTAGACATTGTGAAACTCAGTAAAATCTAGAGGTCATATTTAACTGTAGAGTACACCATTCGTGCATATGAACATGAGTGCCTGATAATAAACAGCCAACAAGTTGTACTGGGTATCTCTTATGTGCCCAGTACCCCCATAAGTAAAGGTTTGTTGTACTTGAGCCAATTAACACAAATTCAGAAACCAAGGCCACAATCTTTACACAACTAGACCTCTATAATCTAAGAACTAAAGCATATTTTTTCCCAAGGTAAGAAAAACATCATCTATCTACTGTTTGTTAATGCAGAAAAGCAGACATTAAGTACCATAGGCTCATTCCCAAATTCTACATTCTGGCTAAAGTGCTCTAAAAACATACGCCATACGCCATACGCCATAATAGTTACTCAAAGGCACATTTTTGCCAACTACGAATGCAACATCCATGCTCTCTGTAATTTTATTTTGCCACTAGGCACCAAGGATGCATCTCGGAGTATAAAAATTACTTAATTCACATCGTGGGATGAAAAATCAAATGTCGAACTGCCTGAAAAGCCAGCCATTTACTTAGGTAAAAGTGGTATACATTTCATATTAACTACCCAAATTTTTAGACACTGTCAAGAGGCAAATCAGAAGCACACGAGAAAAACAGCCTCAACCTAATAAACGTGCTTGATTGGTAAGAGGCGGCCTGCCAGGCACAGTTTCCCTCGCAATAAATCTTACTACGCATCAACCCACATTAACCTGTCCCCCATCCCCTCGTGGAATGAATGAATGAATGAATGAATAAAAATAAGGCCTAATTACCTGTACTCGAAATTTGCCCAGAAATTGGGGCAATTTGAGGTCCCATTAAAGCTGGACTTCGCAAAAAGTAGTATACTGGGTCCTCTGGAAGCAAAACCCTGCGTTAGTATCCCCTGGCCTAGAGATAAGTCCAAGGATATCCTTCAAGATCTGGGCTAGAGAAGGTAAATAAATACCTGGCAGGACACCTCCCCCGAAAAAAGGCTTGACTCCTAGGGCTGCAGAAAAAAAATAATCCCGCAGGGCCCGGGTACTTCCCGTCTCCAGCAGTCTAAACGCCACTAAGTCGTCCCAGGATCTCACATCCTCCGTCCCGCCCACCCCTCCCCTCCCCCTCTTCTCACCCTCCCCCCACTTCTTCCCCACGCAGTTTCTAGGCCCCAAAGATTAGAAGAATGACCGGGATACCAAAGACCGCTTCCGACTTAGGGGTGTCAATCCCACAGGCAGCAAAGAATAAACAGAGGAGGCCAAGCAAGCTTCACCGGTTAGGGGAGGTTGGAAGAAGCGCCCGATACCCCAGGCCGCGCCCCCCCCACCCC